TCTCCCCGCGTCCCTGTGCCGATCGTGGATGTGGGCGGGCGGTGGGGGTGGGGGGGGGGGGGGGGGGGGGGGGAGCCGGCATTGATCTGTGACCGGATCTCATGATAAAGTGCGCTGTCTGAAAGAAGAATATCATATTTATGACAGTGATCGGGCACCCCTCCACCTTATCACATGACCAGCGTGCAGGAAAACACGCCACGGGGGGGGGAATATTCATCGCTGCAAAGATGGTAACTTCCTGAAACAATGTAACAAAGACCTCGAGAGACACAAGACATGTGACTGAGCACACAGAATTCACGGATACGGAACTCCAATGATAAGAATCATTACATTGTATCTAACCCCCGGACAATACTCTTCTCTTATTGCATCACTTCTGGTCTGCTAGAAAATACCCGTTGATCCTTCCAGAAATCCAGAGAGCTGGTAACTTCCTGTGCTCTCTGCTTGTGTTGTGCTGTCACAGTCACATCGTTCACAGTTCTATCTGGGACTACAGAACTCTCCCCCCTATGTTATAGGGATTAAAGGAGAAGTATGAGGGGAGTGATTTTCACTCAGCCTCATAGTTCTAGCCGACGTATGACAATGAAACTCGCACGTCGGCTCTATAGATCGGGAAGTGAGCGAAGGCATACCGTCGCTCGCTCACTTGTCGATCCTCTCCCTGCAGAGAGCCGTGACTGTCAGTCACGGCTCCCCGCAAGGATTCCCCTCCCCACTCCGATCCTCCAGCGCTGACTGGCGGAAGGAACGGGGGAGGGGGCGGGCACAGCTGGCTCTGCCTCTAGATAGGCAGAGCCAGCTGTCACTCACGCAGCTGGGCGGATCTCGACAGTAATGTCGGTATACGTCCCGGCTGCGGCGTCTCAGTATACCTCGAGCTGCAGCTCTCTATATACTGAGCTTAGGGTGACGGGAGGACGCTAGTTTGTGTTCTCCCGTTACCCTGAGGAGAACTACGGGGAAAAGCCCTGACCCCATAGTTCTCCTTTAAGAGAGGTAAATGTGTTCTGTAGTCTTGTCTTAGGGTGACAACATTTTCTATAAATACAGTACAGTGAGTAAGTGTTGTCACCTTAGGACAGGAAGTGTGTTACTGGCAGGATCACCAGGTGAGAATAAAGGAAAGAATGCTGAAAAAAAGAAAACTAATGCAGCCGCCATATCTATGGACAGGAAGCTGCAATATATGACATTTTTTGTTCTTGGGTTTCGACTCTTTAAATACATCCAAGTGATAATTGTACCTCCTTTTAGTGCAGCGGGGGAGCAGCAAATAAGGGGACATCACCCTGTGCATCCTGGGATTGGCTGAACAGGTGAAGCAGTAAAGGAGAACTATGAGGGGGAGGGGCTTTTCACTCACCTCATAGTTCTAGCCGACCTGTGACAATGAGACTGTCACAGGTCGGCTCAGTAGATCGGGAAGTAAGCGAACACATACCGGCGTTCGCTCACCTCTCGATCCTGTCACGGCTCTCTGCCGTGACAGGGGGAGGGGCTGGATTCCCCCCTCCCCGCTCCGATCCTCCAGCGCTGACTGGCGGAACGGACGGGGGAGGTGGCGGGTACGGCTGGCTCTGCCTCTAGATAGGCGGAGCCAGCCGTCACTCACGCAGCTGGGCGGATCCCGTCGTCTAAGTCGGGATCCGCTCCGGCTGCGCCGTCTCAGTATACCGCGAGCTGTAGCTCCCTATATACTGAGCCTAGGATGACGGGAGGACGCTAGTTTGTGTCCTCCCGTTACCCTAAGGAGAACTATGGGGAAAAGCCCTGACCCCACAGTTCTCCTTTAACATTCATAGAATTCAGCTCTATGTTTAGTCTGAGTTCTACTTTAGGGCCCTTCTCTGGATGATGTGCGCAGTGGGCGTGGCCTGGCTGCCATCTGCATTCCATGGTAAATATAATACGGAGGCAGAATCTGTATGCTCGCTCTCACAGATCATCACAACATGCGTGCCGAGGGGTAAGGAGGGGCCCCCCCCCCCCCACCATTACTTCCAGGGGGACACCATACTGAGTGCTCACCCAGAATGAGAGGGGCCCCCGTTATAGGGCCCACAGACATAATCCGCCGGAACTGAGGACAGTCAGTCGGGACGCCGGGACTCACCGAATACGGTCAGGTTGACTTGCGCTTGCTTGGAGCCATGTTTGTTCTCCACCATCAGCGTGTAGCAGCCGCAGTGCTCCTGGCGGGCGCACGAGATGGTCAGTTTGCTGGTCTCCTCTGAGCTCTCCACTTTGATGAATTCACTTTCTTTGATCTAAAAAGGTAGAAAGAGCCAGCGGGGGGTCAAGAGAGTAAAAGGGTCAACGGGCCACCAATGGACCTCCAATATACACAGAGGGGGCCCCTGATCCAAGTCTGAGACTCAGAATGAACTTAACTGAGAAACAGCCAGGGAAGTGACATAGTCAGGGGGTCACCAATGGCAGCCTACATCAGATATAAGACTGGAGGGGAGGACGGAGGTCAGATAGAAGACTGAAGGGGAGGACGGAGGTCAGATAGAAGACTGAAGGGGAGGACGAAGGTCAGATAGAAGACTGAAGGGGAGGACGGAGGTCAGATAGAAGACTGAAGGGGAGGACGGAGGTCAGATAGAAGACTGAAGGGGAGGACGGAGGTCAGATAGAAGACTGAAGGGGAGGACGGAGGTCAGATAGAAGACTGAAGGGGAGGACGGAGGTCAGATAGAAGACTGAAGGGGAGGACGGAGGTCAGATAGAAGACTGAAGGGGAGGACGGAGGTCAGATAGAAGACTGAAGGGGAGGACGGAGGTCAGATAGAAGACTGAAGGGGAGGACGGAGGTCAGATAGAAGACTGAAGGGGAGGACGGAGGTCAGATAGAAGACTGAAGGGGAGGACGGAGGTCAGATAGAAGACTGAAGGGGAGGACGGAGGTCAGATAGAAGACTGAAGGGGAGGACGGAGGTCAGATAGAAGACTGAAGGGGAGGACGGAGGTCAGATAGAAGACTGAAGGGGAGGACGGAGGTCAGATAGAAGACTGAAGGGGAGGACGGAGGTCAGATAGAAGACTGAAGGGGAGGACGGAGGTCAGATAGAAGACTGAAGGGGAGGACGGAGGTCAGATAGAAGACTGAAGGGGAGGACGGAGGTCAGATAGAAGACTGAAGGGAAGGACGGAGGTCAGAGAGAAGACTGAAGGGGAGGACGGAGGTCAGATAGAAGACTGAAGGGAAGGACAGAGGTCAGATAGAAGACTGAAGGGGAGGATGGAGGGTCAGATAGAAGACTGAAGGGGAGGACGGAGGTCAGATAGAAGACTGAAGGGAAGGACAGAGGTCAGATAGAAGACTGAAGGGGAGGATGGAGGGTCAGATAGAAGACTGAAGGGAAGGACGGAGGTCAGATAGAAGACTGAAGGGGAGGACGGAGGTCAGATAGAAGACTGAAGGGGAGGACGGAGGGCAGATAGAAGACTGAAGGGGAGGACAGAGGGCAGATTGTGCTATGTGCACAGTGAGTGGGGGAGGTGCAGACACGGGTGCGGGTCGGCGGGGAGATATTACACAGATGAGACTGCAGTGAAATCTGAAGAAGTGGAAAGATATTTGGGTCGTATTTAGTACAAGGGTTCCGAGTGATCGGTATTATCAGTTCTCAATCTATAATCAATAATCACCTCTTTCCTGAATTTCATCCATGTGCAGGTGATCGGCTGAATTCCTGCCACTTTGGAGAGGAGCACCACGGACTCTCCGGCGCGGACCTTCAGGTCTTCGGGAAACTGGAGGATTTGTGGTGTGGACGCTGGAAGGGAAGAACAAGACAAAATGTAACACCGTCCACCGGGAAGAGTCTTTGTATCTGTGGAATGGGCCATAAAAACAGAGAAAAGGGAAAATTCCATGTTTACATAAATATATATCACGTGATTCCGATGAAGCGTCAACTGCCTAAGAAGGGATCTCCCCTGGAGAGATTTCCTCTCACTTCCTGTTGTGTCTCTGGGACAGGAAGTGAATCTCCCCAACGGGAATAGGTCCTCTCGTCGCTACTTTTTAAATACTGCACATCGTTGGGGGTGTCATGATCGGCAGTTGTCATAGAACG